AAGTCAAACCTTCATAAGATGCTTAAAATTCTGTATCCAAACCAGGAAGCACCTTTTCAGTAGATTGTAGCATATTTCTGCGGAGTATCCTGACAGTGGCTTTATTTAATGCAGGGAACCTCAGGATGAGACTGAGGCAACACCAAACTAGCTCCTTGAGAGTAGCCCTGTCCCTCACACGGCAAGGCTGGACATGCTACCTTCCCTCTCATTGTCAGGCCCTTGGGACCCAGGGCCTGGTGTCCCCACAGACTCTGGTAAGTACCTCCCTGACCAACTCACACAAGATCATGCACCCCGGATGTTCATCTCCTTGTGGAAGGGTTTCTCCGTGAGCCAGAGCTCAGTCCTCTCTGGGGAGACCCAGTGGTAGGGATGGTAAACGTTGTCTCTTCTTGCACTTGGGACGAAAGGAGCGCTCTGGCTTTGCTCTGGGGGATGAAGCAAGCACTTTTTGCCGTGTGCTCCAAGTCACTTTTTCCAAGCTTAAAATTTTTCTGAAAGTGAGAGATTGTGAAGAGAAAGGGGAACAACACAACGAAACATTCCCACCGCACTGCAAAGCAACTGAATAGATCGCCCTGGTGAGTCCCAGCTGGGACTTGTCCACCCTTTTGGAGTACAGGGGAGGGAGCTGGTGCTGCTCCGGCCTAGCTTCTTGTTGTCAAGTGCTTTGGAGTCTGAGATACAAGGACTGATCAAAAAATGTGATGTACGTTCAAATAAAAAGAATTTATTACAATAAAAGACATGTTGCCATTTATTCCCTGCAAAATCTTCCCCCTCACTTTGAACACACTCATCCCATTGCTCTGGAAACTTTCTGCACCATTTCTGGAAGTCCTCGTTTGAGAGTGTCTTTATGAGGTATGATCAAAAATATGGTGAATGCGGCTGCTGAGCACCATCTACTGGAAAAGGCAGGCTCTTAAAAACATGACGCTGTGTGGCTTCTGGCTCTTCCCCAAAGTTAAAATGATAATGAATATGAAATATTTTGAATCAATTCAAGACATGGAGGCAGCTGGGACAGGAGAGAGGCCTTCCAAGCTGCTTCAGAAAGTGGCAAGAACTATGGGAACACTGTGTCCAAAAGGAAGGGAGGATTTCAAGAGGATTCGTGGCAATGTGTCTTTAACATCATCAGTTATTTTGTATTCCAATGGTCTCGGATTTGGGACCACACCTTGTATTTATCACACATGAACATTAGAAATTGGCTGGTCACAACCTCACAGGCACTGGTGGAAGACAAGGGAGGGGCTCCTGGTCACAGTGGAAGGGTGTTCTCTGAGTGGGTGTGGTGCACACAGTGGGGTTGTCTTGCGTGGGGACCTCTGAGCTTAGGAGTCCCCAAACTGTTTTCTCTTCCACAGGTTGGAAGGATAGGAGCCCCCTTGCCTTGTTACCGAAACCGAGGGCACAGGCGAGTGAAGCAGATTCCGTTTCAGTGCAGCTGACCTCCGTAGGAGGGAGGGCAGATTATCAACTGCTGTCCCCGCACATGGGTCAGCGTACAGGTGGCCAGAAGGTAATCAGGACCTGGCGAGAGCAGGCAGGGGAGCGCAAGGGCTGGACCATGCTGGGGAGACAGTGCTGGGCCTGGGCCACAGGGAGAACGTGCAACTGGACAGAAGCTGGAAAGGGGAGGGGCTGCCCCAGACCAGCCCGACACTCAGGACCAGCGAAGGAGGCATGAGCTGAAGCTGCCTGTGCCTAACGCCTGGGAGCCCCTCACTTTAAGGGGCACAGCTAGCAAGCCCTCCCGAACTGCTGCAGAGGGAGGCGTGGTTATTACCCTGAGCAGCCCAGCAGGCACAGATCCGCCCTGGTCCAGCAGGGACCACTATCTCTGCCTTCCAAGGCTCTTGGTCACGCAAATATCCTTGAAAAAAGCGCCAGAGCCTCTACTCAGAGACACGCAAGGGACCCCTGTGGGACTCCCCACGCCCAGGCCAGGACACTCAGCTGACCCAGTTAGGCTGAGACCAGCGGGTCTTCGGATCAGCAGGGTCCTGTCTGCAGGGCCGGGGCTCCTTAGGCCACTCAAAGGCCCAGGCATCCCGAGTCCCCAGCAGCAGACGAACAGACACAGTTTTACCAGGCCTGGCGATTACTTCTTGATTGAAGCCCTTGCTCAGAGCTGGGACCCCTGGGCTTCTGAGACCTTTCTTCACTTGTGTTGGATGTGTTGCTTTGGGCCAATGGCGAGAAGCCGTGGGTCTCAGGAGCGCTTGGTGTTAGAGTGCTGATGTTTAGTGCTCTGCTGAGGCCGAGCTGGGGAGCCCTGGGCCACTTTCTTTGTTCTGTGGCACACCAGCCCTTGTCGCCCAGGCTCAGAGGGCTGTGTGCCCCTGCCAGAAACGGGCTGGACTTGCAGTGTCCCCCGGAAGGTCTTGGCTGTTTCCTTAGGAGCCGCACAGACCAGGGCACGGATAACTCAGGCATCATGGCACCACCTCCAAAGGTGTTCACAGAGCAGCGATCGGCTGCTTACTGGAAGAGCAACAGGAGCGGCAGTGTTCTCTGTCCTAGGGTGGATCCGAGTGCTTGCAGTGTGGGCAGAAGGGTCACTGTGCAGTCCGGCTGTGCCCGACTGTGCCATCTCAGTGCTGAACCTTCCTGTCCCTTGTCTTTGCCCTGAAGGAGGGTGCAGGGAAGGTGTCAGGCAGACCTGAGGTAAACAGAGCACCCAGGCTTCCAGGTGTAGGTGCTGGGTGGCTGACATCGGACTGGAGGACTTGCCCACTTCAGAGAAGGGAGTACCTTTCAGACTGCCAAGCAGGTAGATGCCCAAGAGGAATCCGAGCTTCACCAGCGTCAGAAATAACCTGCTTAAAGACTCGGGCTAAGTAGATGACCTCCCCAGACAAGTTGGATTAGAGACAGGCAGTGATCTGAGGAAATTCATTATGCTCATGTTCAAGAATGGGCTTTGAAATATACAGTACACTTCCAGTATACAAGGTATGATCAAAACATACAGCGAATGTTTCAAATTTCAAAAATTATTACAGAGACACATTTCCATGAGTCCACCTCAGAATCCCCCCCCCCAGCACACACAACTTTATTCTGTGGTTTTTGTCACTTTCTCAAGCACCTATGGAAAGCAGCTCTGCAGTCCTGTTTCCTGAGGTCTTTAGGAGGTGTGATCATAAATACGGTGACTGCTGCCACCGAGTGTCGTCCAGCAGAAAGGCAGCTCATGAAAGCCTGACTGGGTCCTCATCCACCTTAGTCACTGGATCTGGCCCTGTGTGACTTCCGGCTCTCCTCCAGAGTCAAAATGACCGTAAGAGGTCAACGTTTCAAACTGATTCAGGACATGAAGGCAGCCATAACAGTGCAACTGAAGACACTCTGGAAAGAGGACTCCAGAGCGGCTGCAGGAAGTGGCGAGGACGGCGGGAAAAGGATGCTCGAAGTGAGGGGTTTCGGGGAACTGATAGCAACTTGTCATTTACTGTGATACATATTTAATGTGAACACTTGCCGTGTTTTGGGATTGTGCCTCCAGTACACAGCCCCGCATCCCTGTGCAGGTAGCAACAACAGTGCCCTGTTGGAGAAGGAAGGGGGAAATATTTTGATACCGTGTTTGCACGTAGAATTCATTTCAATAGTGATGAAATTGTGACTGTGGCAGTAATTCATTCCAGAGGCAGACAACTTCATAATAGAAGTTTTTATTTTTGTACAGCTTGAGAGAAAAATTTTAAAAAGGTAAACTTCTAAGTTGAGGGAATATAGAAGTTTTAGACTGATGAAATACAGAGCTTTCACTTTTCTCAGAATGTAGCCTTCATTTCTTTTGCATAAAAAAGCAGTCTGTGAAGACACAAACTATAAACCGTCAAGGTGCGTTAAATTCTGAAACTATGGCAAGAAACAGAGGCGCACACCCCTCACTTCCTAGGGAGACCCCTGACGTCCGGGCGGGAGGGGTCTCCAGGGCTCCGGGGCCTGCTCTGTGGGGGTTGCGTGTTTCCCAGTCGGAAAATGGCCAGACCAAAAAATAAACAGAAGGAAGGAAGGATGGGAAAGAGAGAGGGAAGGAGAGGAGCCAGGAGAGGAAGAAAGAGAAGTCTGCGTGTGTTCTGCGATGGGGCAACCACCTCTGGAAGAACTCGGGTCCCGTGTCGCCCTGGAAGTTGGTCACCCTTCCTGGGGAAGCCCACACGTCTGGGGGAGGAGCTTGCAGTGGGGGTGCTGGCTCTAAGAGCAGGCCCCACGCTCGCCCTAAACACACCGTGAGGGTTGAGGGCGCAGGGAGGCTCCCACTGCTGAGGAACAAGCTCTGCCGGGGTGCCACATGGTGGACCCTGAACCCAGAGCAAGGGAGATGAAACAGCTTTCCAAGGCAAGCCCCTGGCGACTGGCAAGTTCTCCTCTGGGTACAGAGCACTGGACTGGGGCCACACGCGTGAAGCTGGTCTGTTGCACATGTGGACGACAGCCACGGTGGAGACGGCGGGCGGACGCACGCTGTTCCTCCTCTGTTGCGCGGACTGGACTGGGGCTGCGTGTGTGGTGGATCAGCAACCTCTTCCTGTAAGGGTCGGACGATCCACCGCTTAGGCTTTGTGCCCGTGCTGTCTCTCCTGTAACTACTCAGCCCAGCAACCGTGGCTTGAATGCAGTCATAGCTAATGTACAAACTGCGCGTGTGGCCTTTGGCCTTCTTCCAATAAAACTTTATTTACAAAAACAGCAGTCAGCTGGATTCGGCCCTAATCTGCTGACCTGTCTGGCGCAAGGGCAGGTTGCTGTGGGCGGGCAAGGATCAGAGGCTTGCCCAGGACTTAGAACAGCTCGGCTGGCCCTGCGGCGATGGAGGCCAGCGTGCTTCTGTGGTCCCAGGCCTGAGAGCTCTTCCCAGCCATGCCTGTGGCGCTCAGGGCCTCAGCTTCTGCTTTCCTTGGCAAACTCCGAATACAGGCACCCACAGGACGGAGAACCAAGCCACCAGGAGGAGATAAGAGGAGTAGACATCGAAGTAAAGGCAGACTACTTTTTCTTTTTTATTTCGCTTAGACAAAATGCAAAGAGTGTCTCATCAAATTAAAAAGTAAACAAAAAGAAAACCAAATTGATTCCCCCACCCCTTCACTGACGGCACTCACCCTAATCGACAACAAAAGATCAAACGGAGGACCCGGTTTCTAATGGGAAAGAAAGGTGTGCGAACCCTGCCCCAAATCAACGTTCCTCTTAAATTCACAAATAGGCTGATTCCCCCCCACCCCCGTTTTCTTTCTCGGCTCTTGTGTCACAGAACTTCCAGTCAGAAGGTTTAATTAGTCCCCATGCACTTTGTAGAAAATCAGTAAAAACGCAATAGCCTGTGAAGATCATAAAACTGGACTTCTTTCCCAAAAAATCAGATGCCCAGACAGAGGGAGCTCGCACTCGGATGGAAAAAGGAAGGAGAGTCTTTGCACTGTCTGTGGTTTCAGTATTTTCTCTTTTTTTAATATATTTTGGCAATTTTCTTTAATTATAAATATTGGAATTCCGTAAAAAAAAGGTAGCTTTGATTGAATTGTTTAAATTGTATTTACAACTGCTGTCCAGCCGCGCTGTGTGTTATACCAGGGTGTAGGACTTGGCGTAAGGATTGTTCCCTTTCAAGTGCCCCCGGGAGTCGAGCAGGGACTCCTGGGAGCTGCTCATTTTCGCCGCCTGTCCCAGCTCGGCCCCTTCTCGCTGAGGTAAAGTGGCCACGGCCCCCTGCTGCCACGACTGCCCCTCTCGAGTGGAGGAGGAGGAGGAGGCGGCCTCCAGAGGGATGGGCTCGAGGGCCGTGGGGCGCTTCAGGGTCCGACTTTTCTGAGGTTCCAAGCACGCTTGTCCTAAAGTCAGGTCCCTGCTGGTGCCTGGTGCAGCCCGGTTTAATAAGAAATCCATTCTAAGGTATGGAGGCAGATGGATGAGGTCACCTGCAAAGAAACACAGACTGTGAGCTGCTTCGTGCACAGTGCCCACGCACCCAGCGACCCGGGCGCCAGCAGCGGCCACTCAGGATAGGCACACAAACCCCACTGCGTGCGGGGGCTCTCCAACACACCTCAGGGCTCACCATGGGCCGCTGGGAGGGTCTCATACCTCTCCCATGGGCACGAAGACCTGGCTTCTCTATAGACAGTGACTTTGGTCCTTTGACGGCATGCAAGACATGCTCAAATAATATGGGAATGTTTACATTTAAAAAGCGTATTACAGTAAAAGACACAGTGCCACGGAACCCCTCAGAATCCTGCACCTCACTTTGAACACATCCCATCGTCCTTGCCATTTTCAGCAGCAGCTCTGGAGTCCTCTTTCCTGTGTGTCTCTAGCTGCACCACCCTAGCTGCCCCAGTGTCCTGAATCGATTTGCAGCATTGACCTTTCGTGGTCATTTTGACCTTGGGGGAGAGCCAGAAGTCACACGGTGCCAGACCTGGTGACTAAGGTGGATGAGGACCCAGCGTTGTGTTTTTTGGAGCTGCCTTTCTGCTGGGTGGCGCCTGGCAGCAGTAGTCACCGTATCTTTGGTCACACCTCGTGGACACTCAGGAAAGAGGCCAGAGCTGCTGCAGAGAGTGCTGGGAGTGAGGGATGAGTGTGCCCGAAGCGGGAATGAGTGTTTTGAAGGGGATGTGCGGCAATGTGTCTTTTACTGTAGTAATATCTTTAACTTAAACACAATGGAGCTAACAAGACCCAAACACCATGACCAAGGGAAAACGTAAAGCGACGGCCACGTAAAGGCCGGCGAGGGCTGACCCTGGCTCGGGCAATCTGTTGCGCTCGGCTCGGTGACCTTGGGAGGTGACCTCCGGGAGGATGCAGGGGAAGACACCACCTCGTGCAGCCTCCCAGCTGTAGGCTGGCCGCCCACTGGGCTGTTTCTGCTGCCCTCACTGTGCTAGGAGCAGGGGGAAGAACAGCTCAGAGCGAGGGCCGTCCTTTCCGCTTCCCTCAGCACCCGTCTCATGCTGGCTCTGACGGCGCCAAGGCGAGGACCTAGGGTGGGAGAGGCTGGCTGAGGGGCTCAGCCCCTGGCCCCCTTCTCTGCGGACTCCCCGGGTGTCTCATCGGTCCCCGGCAAGTGCCCGCTGCCTCGGCATCTGCCTCCGGCCGTGCTTCCTTCGCTGTTGCTGAGGACAGGACGTCCCTGTGCTCGGGCCAAGCCCGGGTGCCGGCCGCCACTCCGCACCCTGTCCTCGCTCTGCCTCCCGCTCAGACCGTGGCAGTGTCCCATGCTGCCGCATTCTCGCTCCCAGTGCTGCCCTGCGTGACCCAGCCGCTCCCTGCGTCTCTGGCTTCCGCTTTTCACTCTCCCTTCTGCATCTCCTGACCGCAGTTTCCCTGGCGTCTGCCCTCAGCCTCCCGGGGAGGGCTGGGCTGCTTTATTAATAACTCTCCTCTCCACTGCACTCTCTCCTGAGCCCTGGACTTGAATTTCACGAGGCCAACGGGCACTTCCGCAACAGTGGCTACTCCGAGTTCTAAATGTCGTGGTCCCCAAACCCAGCTCTCGAAGGTCAGCCCCACTCCCAGCCTCGGCCCCAGGGGCTCCTTCCCCCGAGGGCCCCATCCCGTTTAATGTCACTGCTGTCCTTTCCGGCACTGGAGACGGGGCCCTAGGTGACCCCTCCTCTGCAGGTTGTCTCGGACCCCTTTCCATCCCATCTTCGGGCCCTGGCTCTGTCCCTAACCCTCCCCTGGCCCCATGGTGCTGAGTGCAGCTGGGGCCACTCAGCTCTGGGTGCAGCAGAGGGGCCCATGCCCAGCTGAGTTTGGCAGCCAGGGTGGGGGCAGAAGGGCCATGCTGTGCTTTGGGCGTGGATTCAGTGTGTCCCCGGGGCTCCACGTGTGGGACACTTGACTGCAGAGTGGTGGTGGGAGGTGATGGCACGTTTGGGAGTCACCAGGAGGGACGCGAGGATCTGGTCTCCGACCCCACACGTGGCGATATCACATCCGCCTTGAGCCCTCAGTGCAGCCAGCACTACTATGCCTTCTGGACGATGAGCCTCCAACACTGAGCTCAACCAACCTCTTTTCTTGGTAAAGTTTGCTTGCTGCAGGTATTTTGTTACAGTAGCAAATAAAAAAAAGAGTGAAATGACGTATAGGGAAATATATTTTGGTGATAAAAAATGACAGACTGGGTTTCAGGTGTGCTGAGCTTGATGCAGCTGGGCCATCAAAGGAAGGTACCTCTTAGGTGTTGCATCTCAGCCACAAATCTCTAGCACAAACCGTCTTCATTCTCTGACTGCAAAAGTCATCAAAACTTCTTAGTTCTTTTCTGCAAAATATTCCTCGCTTTCCTTATTTCCCTGTGGGCTCCTGCTGCCCTCCAAGCTTTCCTCGCCCAGCACTGGAGGCCCTGGGGTGAGAAGCCTGGGAGGCCCCAGCAGGGGCACGGAGCACGTTCAGACTCACTCGAACCCAGAGCCTCAGAGGCCTCAAGTGCACCCCGGAAAGAGGGCAGTCAGGGACACAGAGGAAAGGACAAGTAATAAAACCAAGGCGGGCGCTGACCATAGATTTGATACAAGGTACGGGAGCATCAACACTCTCAAAACGCTGTATTTTCTTACAATCCTTTCTGCAGGGTGAGAGGAAGGCTGACGTTGCTCTTGGGGAGCGTGCCAGTTCCACCCTTGTGTTACACTGGCATGCCGCTCGGTATTTCTGACTCAAACAGCTCTGGCATTTTCTCCTTGGCTGTCTCAGGCTGTCTTTACCCTGTTATGCAATGCCCAGTAATGACATGATTTCACTAGGCACCATAGCATGTGATCCACCAAAAGGACCCCAGCGACACTCTACTGAAACGCTCTGATTCAGTGCTGGCTTCGTACCGTGAGCCGAATAAAACCAAATAAATATCTTGATGATAAATTGGCCGTAACACTCCTGTGAAAGCCTTTCTGTAAGGCTGGTTCTGGTCACCTGCTGTGCTGGGAGGCTGACCGTTCAGGGATGAGTGTGGAAGGTACGGGCGTATCTCACCATGTGTACTGCCCTTGTTTCTAAAAAATACAAGTATTTAACTTTTTAAAAAGGAAACTTTAATGTCGGTGAAAATTAATTATCTTCATGTGCATAATGAACATACTTATCAATCTTCTCTATTGGGTTTATTTGAAAAATAAATAATATGACAGCAGTAGCAGAGCTGTGATGGGGAAATAAACTGAAAGAATCTTTTTGCAATGTGAAAAACGTTCTCTAGGTGAATCAATGCACCCTCACTGTCCAGTTTTGAAATCTGTGGATAAAATATCCAGTTTCTTCAAAATGATTGTCTGCTCCTAAGAGTGCAGTGAGAAAATTATGATAATTTGCTCTTTTATTGATTTATATGACTAACATTATTTGTATCATGTTGTTCAAATAGTTGAGAACTTGTGGACATTTACCTGCAGGATTGTCTAAGAAGGTAAGTGAGAAACACCTCGCACTGTTTCTGAGAACTGAACTCAGTCTTGCTCAGCTGACGTCTGTAGCCGGCGGTAACAGGTTTGGGGCACCACCCTGCACTCCCCACCGAATGCTCAGAGCACGTTAAATCCCCACAGAGCCCAGCACCTTGGTCCTGGCGGATCACAAAACGCACGGGTCTCAGATTGGACGGAAGAAACGTGTTCAGAATCAAAGCCCTGCTGTCTGGTGCTGCCTGCAGGCCTTCCACTTCAGCTTAGTGACGGAGGGCATCCCAGGAGCTGAGAAAGACGGCTGAGCAGCAGATCCCTCGGCACAGGTACAGCTCGGCATCACATCCTGCAGACCTGTGCTTCTTATTGCAGGTCTGCTGAACATCTCGGAATCCCCTGTGTCTCTGGAGGATAGAGGTCTCCAGGCGAAGCTTTGTAAAGCTGCCCAGCACTGTCTTCAGCATTTCTCTTTAGGCGTGTCTCAGGCTGGCACTCAGAGCGGCCCTCTCAGCTGTGCAGAAGCTGCAGACAATGTCTCTGTGCTTCCTGCAGTTAGGGGAAGACAGCAGCGGAGGAGTCGGAGCTGAGCTTCGCTCTTGCAGGCACTTTATGTTCAGTACGATTGGAACCCGTGTGCCAGTCCCGATGCCGGGTGGGGAACCGGACTTCCTGGTAATACTTCCTTTTCCTGGGTTCTTCAGATGACGACAGGGACTGAGACAAACCATGCAATGATTGCTCCAGGAAGAGGATGAAGCGGGGGATTGGTCAGCTCCGGGACACTGGCACCCCTGCTATTCTTACCCCTGCCCTCCACCTGCCTACACTGCACAACGGCAACTCAGGCTGATTCCAGCTGAGACTCGAGGACAGAGCTGGGGAGGACCCTGCCGGCACTTCTCTGCCTGGCCCCGATCTGGGCGAGGTTTTCTCATCCATGAGATGGGGCACTGTGATCATGGCATCTCCCGGAGAGGGCTGCTAGAGGGTTCCAGCAGCAGCGGAGGTGCAGACTTCACGAGGACAGAGCGTGCAGTCAGTCAGGGGCTGGAGCTCGATCATGATGGGCCAGGAACTCATCCCTACACCTCAGCTCATCTGCAGAGGGGTCCCCAAAGATGCACCCAGGGACGGCGGCTGGACATCTGTGAGTGTGACCACCTCTGAAGAAAGGGTCTTTGCAGATGTCATGGAGTTGAGATCACCTGGGTGGATGGTGACGACACGTGTCCTTCACAAAGGGAAGAGGATGGGACACAGAGACACGTGGGGAGGAGGCCAGGGGAGAGTGGAGAAAGCAGCTGGAGCGCTGGAGCCACAGCCAGGGAACACCCGGATCCATCAGAGGCAGGGGGGCAGCCGGGGCTCCTCCCTGCAGCCCGCAGAAGCGGTGGCTTGGGGATGGACTGGTGCTGCTGGGAGCTCCATCTGTGGCCATTCGCCTGTCCTTGCTCCTTGGCTGCGATGGGCCCCAGGCCTCTCTTGAGCCCCGAGCCACCTGGACA